AGGTTTATGTTTTATTAAAGTAGACGTTGGAAATCCGTGACAACATAAAAAAAAACAAGAAGACTGACCTCGTTTCAAAATTTAGATGTTGAATTACTGTAACGGTAAGTAAAAAAAAACTAATTTTCTTTTTTTACATATTATTTTAGTATATTTGAGAAATAGCACTAGGAAGAAAAAACATGAATGTTTTAAGAGAAACAACGTGCCAACGAAGGTCACTAAATTTTAGTTATCTAAATTTAGTTCCCTTCCACACAAGATAGTTATTGTCTATTAGACTTTTACAATGTCCTTGAATTGTTTTTAACTTTTAAAATGCAAATAGTTAAAACGTTAAAAAATACACACACATATATATATATATATACACACACCTTCAGTAAAATATTATAAACAAACTAGAATATCTTAAAATATAAATGATGTAAGCATAAATAAATATTAAATCACTAAATTGGCTTATACTCTTATTTTCCATTTTATAATATTTAAAATAAGTAGATAGATAATTACGTTTTGCTGTTACATCATTCAATCTTACCACCTCTTGTGCGTAAGGTCACCTTCAGAGTTCAGACACACAAACATATAAAAAATAAAATAAAGAAACTAAAACGATTACAGCTACGAATGTAAATATTTAAATATTAAAACAGTCGATAAATATAAAAATAATTATATTATTATTTTTAAATGAGAAAATCCTAATTGCGAAAGCATTTCATTTTACAGAAGAATTTTTTTATTTTATTTTTTATTTTGCAATTAAATAAATGGTAAGATAAAAGTAGTTATATAATATGTACAATTTTCGTTTATTATAAATTTACTTGACGATTTTTACTTTAATTAATTGTTATATCATTCATGTTTTTATATTTTATTTTTCATTATATAACTCGACTTTTAGCGAAGGAGATGGAGTTATATAATGCAAATAAAATAAAATACTGGTGTAATATTTTCAAAAATTTAATAATAAATACAATCAAATCTCTAAACCACGGCCACTGATGTGAACATTAAAAAATGCCTTTGTTTTAATATTATTTTATACGCATTTTTGTTAAAAATACAAAAGAAAAACAACCTCTTGAAAAATGGCCACTGTTTACAGACTGTCATTATTAGAAACTCGACTGTATTTTTAATGTATTTTATACAATAATTTACGTTTACAGATTTCCTACAATATAAATAAATTTCGAATTAAAAATGATTAATTCAAATAAATTCTATATGAATAGTTACGATTTTTAAACTGACTTTCGAACATTTTTTTCTTAAATTGGTAATAA